TCAATGGGAACTACTAGACACATCTGCAATCAACAACAATTATTTAAGATTTCAAGAGGACTTCACCATTGAAATTCACTGGAGCTATAGTTAAACTGAAGATGCCCACGTGCATGGCAGTTGGATGTTGTAATACATCGGGTATCATGATCAACCACGCACGGGTTCGTTGTTGGATTGTCAATTTGAAGAGGGAGGATTTGCCAATGAACTTCTGGCCAGAGAAAAAACATAATATGTAGCCAACATTTTAAGAAGAATGTTTTCAAGAAGACTCGGGCATTAGCGCGTTGTGACAAACTCCAGATACAGCACTGGGACTTGCTCAACAGCCGATACCGCACTGTAACGTCACAAACTGCCAGGTGGCAGTAGTGTTCTTTGACGAACATGGATGCCTCTGGTAAAGCACAGTCAAATTAGACTTAAAAACATTTATCATTTATTGAACAGTATGTAATAATTTCATATTTAAAGTACTTTCAGAAGTTTGAATATGACCGAAGTTCTGAATATGACCGGAACTTTCTTTTAAATCATAATGAGACTAAAAATGCCGCTAAGGATACAGAATGTTGACTTAAACACGTTTCTTTCATTTTAAAGTTGTAGTTTAGAACTAAGTGACCAAGTCCCATTGGGCTTCATTGGCAGAAGTTACATTTCTCTTACAGCAATATTCATTACAACTGAATCTACTCTAATGAGGACCCCAACCCCCTGTGGCACTCAGTGCTTCACCAGAGTCAGCAACGAGCCTAATGCAATTAGGCTACAGCTGTCTAACAGACCTCTTTGGACTCTGCTAGAGATGGTCAGTATGCCTGATAAATGTCGGCACAATCAAATAAATGCAACTCGGACCTGTAGGCACAATGAGAGAAGGCTTTCTGCCTTGTTTTACTTCCCATTAAACAACAGCAACTTGTGGATTTAATAAAAACCTAGCCTTTTTAAGAGCAAATTTATTTATATATTGCTTCCCTTTTCAGACCCAAATACATGTATAAATAAAATATATACTTAAAATAGTCACAAATCTATAGACTGAAATTACATTGGAGCATTAAAAAAAAAACATTGCAAGAAATAACGCAATTTTTGCTTAAATCCAGTGCAAAGATGTGTTTTCATAGGAGGTAATATATAAGAGACAAATGTTACACTCTTATCTGCATTATGATGCTGCAATGTAATTTACCGTACCCCCTTGACAGAAGCTCTGCTTTTTGCCACATCACTAGAAGTATTACCACCTCCCTGTGAGCAGTCTGCCCTTGTCACATTCTCATCAGTAAGCAGCTCAATTCTGCCACCAAGTGGTGGACAGCAACCATGCCCCCCCCCACACACAAGAGGTTAACAGCTCCAGATGCCTGCAGTCAGTGTACCGTACTGTGGACGACACTGCAGATGCAGGTGCCATGGTGGGTTCAAAAAGAAGAGCAGATGTCAAATTATCACAGAGCCTGGCGGTGCTCCCACTTTTTGATGAGCAGACATCAAATCAATAATCTGTTCATTAGTCTTACATGAGCAAATCTACGAGTGATCCTCTGCTCACAAAATCAATACTGCATGCAGTTACTCATTGTGCCAGATCCTTTTTTCCATCCATAACAGTCTTTTATGTGTATCTACTCCAGTTGCGAAAAGGAACAGCTCCCAATTACGGCAGAACAAATCTCCACGTGTATAACCTATCAGGGTTTGGTGTATTGAATATATTTCAAGTTGCACCAAACCCAAAATATTGATTTCTGTAGTTTGTTGGAGGAGCAAATGACATCCTAGCTGGAATATGTTTCGTCTATCAGGCCCCAAATCTGTCTTTTCCATGCAATCAAGGTCAAAGTGAGAGAACACTAACAATGTGTGGGCCTATTTCCCTCCTGCCTTCATTACTATACAATTAGCTGCGGTGCTATTCAATTTCCCTCATTTCAGACTTTGTGGATCAATATCACTCAGGCTGCTGGCTAAATGGTTTTGCTGCTTGGAGGGCTTTTCTATAGCTTGAGGGGAGGTATCAATCACTGAGCTAAAAGAGACATTCAGTCCTGAGTGAGAAATGAACAGACAGCCTTTGAGAAGCAATTGTACAAGACTGGAGAAAATCATGGTGGTAAAATGGGGGCAGTGTAAAATATTTAAAAGGGGTTATTACAACAAAGCTGATAAAGCATCAGGGTAACTATGTAAAAAAAGAAATTCTTAAGAAATAATTCAGCACCTGAATATTACTCCTTTTTCTTGAGATTCAATGCAGCTTGGGTTTTAGAAACAGCACTATAAAAAAATTTAATGAAGTTTCTAGATGATGATCCAGGCAAAATTAGATTAAGGTGATGTAGGACTTGAAGTAAGTAATTCCAAGCGGTTGTTTACAACTTATCAGAATGCAATATATTCATCTCAACAAAATATATCAAATAACAGGGCCCTCTGATTTTTGTTATACTGGTTTAATTTAGTTTAGTTTTTCTGAAGCCTGCTTGTTTCATGGTCACTTATAAATGTACGCTGATGACAGTGTTGTATAAATATACAACACTGTCATCAGCTGTCATCCAATTAAGGCTGCTGCAATGTAAATACAGTGTAGCCATTAACCCTTTAAAGCCTGATCGAGGAATAAAACAAAACAGAAAATTACTTTTTTTTGGTTTGAAGTCCTTATTTGGCCTTTTAACAAAATATGTAAAAAGAAAAAACAGAAATATATTTTTGATATTAATAATTTATTACTATGCAATAAGTCAAGATTATTTTTTGTGTAGTCTTCTGCCCTCTGTTATCAGGTATATCTGATTGTGTACAATAGGATTTTGAGCAAAGTTTTTACCATTAAATTATGCAAAAAGTGTCAGATGCAAAACATTTCACAAACCGTATGTATCAAATATGATACATTTGGCATTACAGGGTTAAATGATAATGCAACTATTTGGCAAAACACAAAACAAATTACACGTGTTTTTAAAATGTTTAATGTGTTCATCACCTGCCTGCCCGTTCATCAACATGTCTCTAGCAAGTACCAACGCCCTCGGATCTCACTGACATTCCGTCTGCAAGACCCACTGAATCAAACCCTTACAGATCCATGCCACCTTCCCTCCACCCCTCAGGTAAGCAAATCAATCAGCCATCAGTTGCCACCAACTAACTCCTTCCTGGTCAGTCTGCTTACTTCCCTCAGACTAACCAGAAAGTTCAACTAACTTCCTTCAGTTCTCCACTTCCAGATTCTTGTTTTTTGTAAATAGAACATTTAAGGAGCAGTCCAGTCAGCAAGGAATGATCAATTAATCATTATCTATACCTAAAACTAATACATTTGCAGTGTTTGCATTAATCAGTAAAAAAAAAAAAATAAAACCAATAATTTTTGTATCAATCACTGTGTCCAGGAACGGCTATTTTTGCCCAAGTATCGGGTATGAGTAAAGTTTATTTATTTCACACTTCCGATTCATGATCCACCGCGGACTGGTTGCCAACTTGAAGAGGGAGGATTTGCCATCGAACTTCTGGCCAGAGAAAAAAGACGTCATATGTAGCCAACATTTGGAAGAAGAATGTTTCGAAGATGACTTGGATAATAGCGAGTTCTGACAAACACCAGATACAGCACTGGGACTTGATCAACAGCCGATACCGCACCGTGACGTCACAAACCTGTAGGTGGCAGTAGTGTTCTTTGACAAACATGGATGCCTCCAGTAAAGCGCATTCAAATGAAAATTACATTTAATTAAAAACACTTATCATTTATTGATCAGTATGTAGTAATTTCATATTTAAAGTACTTTCAGAAGTTTGTATTCTGAAGGTCAAGTAAGTTTGAGGTTTTAGGACTATTTTTTTTACAGGTACAAAAACAGCAATAACTTGGTGTAACTTTGCAGTTTCTTGTATGATATTTACTTTGAAACTGCTCAGGCTAATAGATATAAAACATTTAAAGAAGAGTTAAGTAACAGATATATTGCATTAATAAAAAGCTATGCAATTTTTGATGCAGTCAAATTTCTAACTCCAAAGGATATCGTAAAAGTATAGAAGGAAAGGTTTAAATTGAGTTAGATAGTGAAATTGAAATGTTTTTCTTGAAAATTGAAGAAAAAAAGGAATATCTAGGCTGCTGTACATTATTAACAACACAAACTCACGTTTTTTCATTATCATTCTTATTAGTCACAAACAGTTTCACAACAACACTTTGCTTGCTGCGATTAATACTGAGGAATGCTTTGAAAAATACCAGAAAAACAGCATAACATGGTTCAACACATCACATTGTTAGGTGGGGATCAAACACTGAGGGACCATCTGCTCTTTAGCTATTCATGCAGCAAATAAAATAAACAGGTTGTCGCATTCCACAACAAAGCAGCTGTTAGAAAAATGCAGCTCAAAGTTTGAACTTATCTCCACAGAAACAAAGACACTGAAGAATTTTGTCAGAAATGATGCCATACTTTGGCCTGCTACGGTAGAAACGATGAAACTTCCACTTTGCGGAAATGTTTGGAGGCACCATACAGGATAAAAAGGTGACATTAAAACAGATTCTCAGTAATATTTTTCTACTGGCTGCTGTCAAATAAAAAAAGCCTCATTAGGGTGACTTTGATTCCTTTAAAACCTGGCAGGCTGGAAACACTGGAGCTCATTCAGACAGTGATGGGAGGAATCAGTGGGACGTAAGCCGATCTCCTGCTCTGGGCTGTCGACGAATTTGCCAGGATAGATGGATTCTTCATCTGATAGTTGGGTGTCTCAATATCAGCTGGGTTCATAGGACTATATACTAAAAACAGCATGGCACTAACTACAGTACAGCCACTGATACTAAAGGAAAAGAAATGACACAAAAAAAAATGCAGCAATGCTAAGTGTCTCTTCTCATTCTAATTATATGTGTCTGCAGTTTTTTTTTTCTGCAGATGCTTTTGTCACCATGCTCCAGACGGTAACCACAAAGCAACAATATATCATCTGACATCAAAATTGGTCTTTGTTATGGCTCCACTCAAATATATACTTCAAAAACAGCATGAAAGAAAACAAAAACAGAGCATCTCAGATAAAAGGAGACAATAGCTTAGTCTAGGTGACAGCTTTACATTCTTGGCAATAACAGCACCTCTTTAATGTTCTTGAGAAAAGTAGACAAACACCTCACAAGGCAGAAAACAAGACTGACTTTTAAGTTTCACTGTGAAAATACAATTGTATGGATCGATTTTTTTTAAGCATACAATCTATACAACTTTTTGAGGACTGAATCAACATACACATTCCACCGACATCAAACGTCCTCATCGATTTAAATAGAGAAGAGTGCTGTTCCAGGATCAGTCCACCATGTGGCAGCGTGTAGGCTTCCTGGCTGGGGTTCAGCATGAGTTCCCCTCAATGTTGAGGCTTTAAAACTAACAACTGGGATTCATTCCTCTGAGTGGCTTGCATCTCTGATTCAGCTTCAAATACGTTGCCTTTTGCAGGGATATAGTGATGGAGAGGGCTGTTCATAGATGCCTCTCTTTAGATAAAGGCTCCTGCAAAAAAAAAAAAAAATCAGTATCAGCATTAATGTGGACCAAAAAACCAAAAAATGATCTGAAAACATGAGACTCTACATTTCCTCTGTCATCTGGTCTGATGTAAAAACGAATCAGCGACACAAAATAAGCAGTAGGTTAATGTAATAGGTGATCAAAATGTCTATAAGAGCCCATTTTATTGTAATCTACCAGGATAACCTTAACAAACCTTAAGTTATTTATTAGACACATTTATTGGATAGACAAAAAGCGCTGGATAACAGAAGTGAAAAGAAAAGGTATTGATTTTTTTTTTTATAAATTCATCTCTGCATCATGTGGCATGCACTTGTATTCACCCCTTATGCCTGCTCATCACTCCAGCTGCTATCCAACTATCAAAATGCTATTAGGGCAAACAATTGCAATGAATAATCTTAGACCATCTTGTTTTTTTTGGGCTTTTTGTATAGGCATAGGGACCTTTAAGACTTTTGGCTGTCTTCTGTGGTCCTTGGTTTAATGAGAAGGAATACTTCTGTTATCAGGGTTCCCGCGGGTCCTTAAAAAGTCTTAAAAGGCATTGAATTCTTCAAAATAAATCTAAGGCCTTAATTGGTATTAAAATGTCTTAAATCAGTCTTTCATAGGTCTTAATTTTTAAAACATCATAAAAAGGATAATTTGTATTACAATTTATTTTGTAATCTAAATAAAACATTAAAATTGACAATTTTTTTTTTATTTAAAAAAAATAACTGCTCGCCATTATTGGTTCCGTCCCGATAGCGGAACCAATAAAAGCGTTGTTGCGGCCGGGACATTTGGGAGATGCGCCATTAACTTTTTGTCTGGAAAATATGAGCAAGTGTAAATGTAACGTAAATTGGTTATCCAACCAAGAGTTTTCTCCATGGCTAAAACCAGGGAACATACATGAGGCTCAGTGGATTTTGTGCAAGAAGTCATTCAAGCTCGGAACGATGGGAATTAAGGCAGTGGAGTCGCAAATGCGAAGTGCCAAACACAAAGCGTTAAAGGAATAGTACCGTATTTTCACGACTATAAGGCGAACTTAAACGTCTTTTTTTTCCCTAAAAATGTGCGGTGCGCCCTTTGGTGCGGTGCGCCCTATGTGTGTTGTAACTGCGACTTTTGAGACCACCTCATTGAGGAGATGATGAAAGAGTGGCTGAATGTAAGGAGACCAGGTGTTTTTTTTCCACTCATCACCATCACTGTTAATATGTGACTCCATGCGTGCCCATCTCACAGCTGATGTGAAAAACATGGGGAAACAAATTAACGCTGTGCTCGCTGTTCAACCGCTTGACATCGGTGTGAACCGGACCCAGCAGGTGCAGCAGAAGCAGCGAATTTACATGCAAAGTCAATGGTTGACGCGCGTACAGGCGCAGCAAAAGGTCCCGCAGCGCGTTTTGAGCAGCAGGCGCTGCGTCGGGAGCGTTTAAGCATCTGACGCACCGCCAACGCGCTGCTGCTGCTCGAGATGGAAAAATTGAAGTTTTGCTGCTGGACGCGCCGCATCAACCAATCAGAGAAGCTGATCTGGGAGCTGACAGCGAGACAGACACAGCGCTCTGATGACATATGATATTAACGCAAATGAAAAGGGCTGGATGGATGAGGAGATGATGAAAGGCAGGTGTATGTGAGGAGACCAGGTGCTTTTTTCCACGCATCACCATCGCAGTTAATCTGTGACTCCATGCGTGCCCATCTCACAGCTGATGAGAAAAACATGGTGAATCAAATGGATGCTGTGCTCGCCGTTATCCCGGGAGGTCTGACAAAGGAACTTCAACCGCTCGACATCGGTGTGAAGCGGCCGTTCAAAGTAAGGCTGCGAGCGGCGTGGGAGCGATGGATGACAGACGGAGACCACAGTTTCACGATAAGTGGAAGGCAGCGCCGGGCAAGTTACGCCACCGTTTGCGGATGGATTGCAGATGCTTGGACTAACGTGTCTGCTGGCACTGTTGTTCAAGCTTTCGCAAAAGCAGGCATTATTTCTGAGGAGCCGCCCGGCACGGAAAGTGACTCTGACAGCGAAGAAGGGGGAAATTGGCATGTCTGATTTAGCGCAGCTGTTTAATTCAGAAACAGAGGATGATGACTTTGATGGGTTTGATTAATACTTTGTAATAAATACATTAATAAAGCACAATCATACTCAGTTTTGCTCCCACTCTATTTTTCTACCTGAACACTTAATTCAACAGCAGCCTCTGGGCCGGGTCTCCTCCGCGTATACCGTGGCGGCTGGCAGGTGTTTTTTCATCTAAATAATCTAAATCTTGCAGCTATATTTGCTGTGATCAGTGGGAATAAAGTAGTTTTAATATGTTTTTAAGGGTCTATTGTGCCCGAGACAGAAAGGTCCATAAAAGTCCACAAAAAACGTGTCAATATTCCTCCATACTGCTCATCCAATGTATTCCAAGTGTCCTGAGTGGGTAGCATCCAGAATTTACTCGAAACGAAGTCATTTAGAATGTTTTTAGAGCATAAACAGTAGTGTATAGGATTTCCTAAAAGCGCGTTCACGAGTCTACGGAAACTGCGGCAGACCAAACCAGATGAAAGTGCGCATTCAGCTCGGCAAAGAACTCATGCTCTTCCTCAACACTGAAGTCCTCAGACATTTTTCTTTCGTTGTTTCTTTCTTTGCACAGGTAAACAGCACATTTCTTCTTCTACGCTTGCATTATCGGCAGAGCAGACGCTGAATGCGCACTTTCATCTGGTTTGGTCTGCCGGCTTCCGTAGCGTCGTGAACGCGCTGGCGCGCGCTTACAGGAAATCCTATACACTACTGTTTATGCTCTAAAAACATTCTAAATGACTTCGTTTCGAGTAAATTCTGGATGCTAACCACTCAGGACACTTGGAATACATTGGACGAGCAGTATGGAGGAATATTGACACGTTTTTGTGGACTTTTATGGACCTTTCTGTCTCGGGCACCATAGACCTCCATTATTTGAATGTCAGCAGACAGCAAGAAGCCTCCCAGATCTCCAGATGCATTTGAGATATCAAAAAAGTACTCCAGAGTGTTGTTCAGCATGGGGGTGAGTAGAAAATGAAGGCTAATCATGTTTTGGGTGTACTATTCCTTTAAAATCGAGTTACCGAGAAACAGCCGGTATTTCTCAGTTTAGTTCCACCCTTGTCTCTGCAACGCCTCCACTTATCACCAAATCAAACATACTAGGAAAACGATACAAAGAAAAATAGCTGCAAAAAAGACTTAGCACTGGTTATGTGTGGCTTTAAAACTGATTTGTTTTGTTCCCTGCTAAAACAAAGTTTGTGAATTCAGTTAAATAATTGTTAAAATATATCTGTCATTTGTATGTTTTTAGCTTTCTTCCTGTATAGGAAGCTTTTCAAAATTTGAAACATTAGTGCAGTGGTTTATGTTAAAATAAACCTTTGGGTTAAGTTGTCGCAAGTGGGTTTTTCTTGTGTTTCTTGTGAATTTGGTCTTAAATTTTTATTTCAAGTGGCATTAAAAAGTCTTAAAAAGTCTTGAATTTAACTTGCCTTATGCTGTAGGAACCCTGGTTATGAAACATATTTAGTATAATTTTCTTATGAAGTCAAATGTCTCAAGGCAGCGATCAGGATCATAATTAAGCCAAAGAACTTATATTACTGCAGTTTACTCTAAATTTGTGGAAACATTTTTTTCCCCAAATCCCCTTTGTTGGTTAACATCACCGTGTCATTTTGCATTCTTGTTGTTTAATTAGCCTGTTTAAGTAAACCCTAGGCCCCAACCTTGTATTAAGATAATTCTCAAAGGGTGGAAGATGGTACAAAAGCAAAAGAGTCGTTCCTCCAAAGGGAAATTAGGCTCATTTTGTTCCCGTCCAGTATCTCCGGTGGCCTTTTTTCTTTTAATACACTGATTAGTTTCACTTGTGAGGGCTTTTAGGAATTATTCAAATCAAACACCCTGGGAAAAGAAAGACACTCTTTGACTGAACTGCTCACAACTCATATTTATTCATATTCAAGCTGTGATTTGAGGCAGTAAGGAGTCATTGATGTATTTCAAAGGACCAAAAGCCACAAAGGCTTCGACAACACCTAAAGGTATTTCTGGAATGGTTGCTGTTATTTAAGCTCACTTCTTGATCTCTTTATTTCCATAATATCAACCTAAAGGAGATAATAATGGTCTAACAGGACATATACAGCAGGCAATGGATACACAGCCAGATTGTTGGATATGTTGCCTTATGACTAAAGATTCTGGCATAAAGAAAATAAATAAAGTCAGGGGGATATTATATGATGCTACACATATATAGATAAACATAATTGAAAGACACGTTTATTTCTTTATTGTCTCTTGAATTTCTCAATTTTTAATGTGTGACTAAAGAGATATTAGACACAAAAAAAACATCCAAATTGCTTCAATTCGCCAGACTTGGTGGGCCAGTTTACATCTATTTAGAGCTATTGAATAATGAATCCAGTGCAGATAAAATAAAAACAATGAATGCAAAATAGCTGCAAGAAATTGAGAAGATTGCCGTGCTTCAGGAATACCCCGTTGAGTGTTTAACTAGTAAAAGAGCAGCACAGAGCTTTTTTGCCCCACCAGAAATTTAATCTGATATTTTCTTTGGAGGTGTGACTACAGTAAATCTCCACATATACACGGGTGTTTATTTAACAGGTAGGAAGAGAAATTAAATGAATTTCAAGTTCTGAAAAAGAAAAAAAAAACATGTCAACAATGAACATAACTCCAATGCATAACAAGGAAGTGTCTCCCTCACCTGGTTATAGATGGACATCAAATACTCCCTCTTCGACCGACTCAATGTCTTCTTCAGCTATAACTGATAGAGACAGAGAGAAAAAAAGGCAACTTCATGTAAATGTGAAACAAGCAGACTGGTCAATTAAATGAGAGGGCAGAAAACTTCCTGCAGATCAAGCGAAGCAGTGACTCAATCTTTCCAGCTTTCTGGTTTATTTTTATCTTGTAATCCTGTGCAGCCCAGTGAGCTGCTACTGGTAGCTTTATTTAGTAAATATGTAAAATAAAATCAGGCAGAAAGTAGAGGCTAATTGTATTTCCATTGTACATGAAATTCCAAGAAACGTTTCTAATAGACATAGTCCGTCATGACGATCTCATAATATTAAGAATAAAAAATTCCACATTATAGAATGCAGTAAATGAACTGAAAATCCTCTATTATATTCAGTATCAAAGTATATTTAAAAACAAAATTATCATTATTGCTGTTTTTCTTTATTTTATTAAATGGATGTAAGTAAAGGCACAGAAAAAGCCAGACTTGTTTGATTCTATTAGTAGGACAGATAAACAGATATGCAGCCCAAAAATATTGAGTAGTAGGGATTTTTCTGTTTAGTACCTTAATATTCCAGATCATCAAACTAAATTTACAGTCAGATTTGAAAAGAGAACAGGTTACCGATGAATTGATTTGCAGATTTTTCCAATCAAATATCGTACTTCTTATTTGCCACAAGCACTGCTGTGTTTCTACACTATGTCCAAGGACCAGCTGAGTTCCCAAGAAAGGGTGGTTCTTAGAACTTTTCTCAGAAGGTTCTTAGAAGGTTTCTCACCGCCATTTCTGAGGAGAGGAGAGAGCTCACACCACTGAGGAGCACCGGTGCTAATGGTTCTTGACATAACAAAGTAAAACACACAAATAGAAGTGAATAAATAGAAATAGAAAAATAGAAATATAACTTTATTGATCTCTCAATGGAGAAATAAACTCTCTGCAGTGGTCTGCCACTATGTGGCACCCGGGGAGCAGAGTGGGTTTAAGGGTTTTGCTCAGAGAGCCAGAGTGTCAGTGTTCTGTGAGATGAGCATTCCAGGTCCGACCAGCATACGCATACTAAAAACCCGTAATCCCTTCAGTTTACCCATATAGTTTTGTATGAAAAATACACTTTAAACTACCCCAAGTGTGTATCCCTTTAGTCATGTACAAAAATACTTTTAATTGTCATAAAACAGGACGGATGGACCCAGTATTCAAGGTGAGACAGCTAGCAGGAAAGTTCAAAATGTTTCTTAAAACAAAACAGAACAGAAACTAAGCATGCTGCTGTGGATCCGTGGCTTGCGGCGGCTGCAGGAGGGGGACGGGTCACCGCCCCCACACACTGGCATTCTCTGGTGAAAAGAAACACAGGTAAGTGACCACGATCATCTGACAGAAGATGATATTATCAGTAAGTGACTTACCTGGTTTCACAGTTCAGTCCATCTCCCTAGAAAGGGATGTGATCCAGACACGGATCAAGACCTGACAACCAGACACGGCATGCGTCACCCAGAGTGTTCCTGATGCTGCAGCCCCCGAGAAGTAGCAGGAAGCCGATCCAGGTCAGTAAAAGTCAGAGCAGGCAGGAACAGTTCAGAAATCCAAGAAACCTCCGCTCCATCAGAGGTTTTCCATCCAACAGGAAAAGCAGGATCCAGACTTCCAGGAATCCACAGAGCTTTCAGGCAGGTTCAGAGTCAGACAGGTGCAAAAGCGTGCCCTCAGACACGCACAGAAGCAGACAGGTAGGCTCAGATGAAGACGGGCAGACTCAGTGGTTGAGGGAAGCAGAGATGAGACGTTGTTCCAGGATTTATGCAGGATTTTAAACTGGTCTCCTCCTAGGAGCCAGGCTTACGGGAATAAAACCGACCCTCCCTGCGTCCCGAGCCAAAACCCTGAGGGCTCCACAGAGAAGGGTCAGAACAGGATCAAAGGACGAGACAAACATGAAACCTCTCAACCCACTGGCCGCCAGGAACCAGGATATGAAACAGGGAATAAACTAAAAACCAAACAGACAAACGGAAAACAAATAATGATCTGTCCACGATTGCTTGGGCTGAACCGAATATAAAGCAACCGACGCAGGTGGATGAGATGAGTGATAATAAGAAAAGCGGGCAGTTAGGCAGGTGAGTGAAAAGAACAATTAAGGTGAGCTAACAGTCCAGATCATGACATTAATGACTTGCTTTTATGTGTTTTTTGAAGCATATGGCAATCTTAAATAGTTTTTTTGTACATGACCATAGGGATACACGCTCGATGAGATAGTTTGAAGTGTATTTTTCATGCAAAACTAAAGGGATAAATGCAAATCTGATGTCTTGCGCATTGACTATGGGTATGCTGGTCTGACAGAACGCCGGCTATGGCGATCGAACTGGACACTTGCAACCTTATCAGAGCACAGGCGCACTTTTCTAACCACTACTATTTTTATTTTTATGTTTAATTAGTTAATTAATTGAGAAAAAATTGAAAAGAAATTGTATGCACAAAGTTTTTTTTTAAACTTCAACGCGTATATTATTATCAGCGCAGCCGTGAGGGCAGCCTTGTTTGTGGCTGTATGGAACGGAAGCTGGCATGTTTACGAGAAATAGTAAAGCTGTGTTGTTTTCACTGAATTTGTGTTCACTTTGATAATTCTTCATTTTTAAAAATAGTTTGATGATCTTAAACATTTACTAGTGCAAAAAACCCCCACAGGTAATCTGTAAAGAAGTAGATATTTTATTCAGAACTGTGTAGCAGGCTGCAGTTTGAGCTAAACATTTTCTAAGCCTTTACATTCCATTTGAATTTAATGTAAATGAATAATTTAATATATTTGTTTCATGCAGCAAAGTAAATATCACCTGTATCCTGCAGGCTAGGGGGGTTATTGGCAGGTGGTGGGAAGCTGTAGGACCTGGCCTGAAGGGCCGGTGGAGTCTCATGACTGATACTCTTCGTCCTCTTTCTGCACTCTACGGCCAGCCGACTTCTGCAGGCTTTATGACAGTTCACCCCGCAGGCTGCAGCCGAAGATTTCAAACCCCGGACAAAGGACGCCGGCAGGGAGAGGTGTCGGGAGAGGAGTTGAGGACGGTGATCCGGATGAAGAGGAAAGGAGGATCGTCGGAAGGGGAAGAGAGAAGGAAAGGGCCATGTGCGAAGGGTAGGGAGGGAATGAGGAGAAAAGAGAGGATCAGACAGAGGGACGGGTCCAAACCGAAACATTGGGGTGAATGGGAGAGCTAAAGGAGACAAAAAGGTGCTTTGGCACGGCATGCAGACACAGGAGCACTGGCACCCACACACAGAGAGATCAACTGTGCTCGACATTAACTCTCTAACCTGGGGGGAGTCTGAAAGGAGAGTAGTGATGGGTCATCCAGCAAAATGGCAGAGAAAACTGAATGTTTACCTTTGGTTATGAACATTGCTTTGCAAAATTATCCACCAGCCTTAAACTTTTTCAAATGTTTGTCACGTTATAAACTTTACATACATTTTTTGGGGACATTTTACGGACCTGAGGTGTTTTTCAGAGACATTCAATCCATCTAGGTGAACTTTAAGTTATTTAAATCTAAAAATGTGTACATTTAGTACAGTCATACCCCAAAGAACTGCAGCAGGGATCACAGGAAAAGGTGAGCCTATAACGTATTGATTCCGGGTGGGCCTTCCACAACTAGTTTCATTTGACTAGTTAACCGTTCTTTTCATATCAGAAATCTAACGTGTGTTTGAATGTCACATAAAACAAGCTAGAGTTTGTGGATGTGGCAAAACTTGAAAAAGTTTAAGATATGTGGATCATCTTGAAAGGCTTTGGAACACAGCAAATCTTTAAAAATCTGTAAGTCGAATGTTTGAGAGACAAACATGATTATTTACCATTGAAAATAAATAAATCTAATCTTTCAGAAGCGTGAAAGTGACTGAAAAAAAGTCTAAAAACCAAAATACAGGCTATTTTTGTTGTTGTTGTGTTAGAATGAACTGTGACAGAACTGCACCCATTTACCCACCAAGAGGTTTCCTATACTTAAGTCTGAAATACCTGACATCTGCTCCTCCAACACACATCCAGCAACCCACACACAGTCAGAGTCCTCCCACTCCTGCACTGCGCCACAGTGGGTGATTCATTTCAATTACACCCCTGGAGCTCTGTCTCCCTCTCAGAGTACAGCCTAACAATGGTAATGGGGATGAATGGCTGTGGGGCTCTCTCATTGACTTCCTCTGGTCTCATTAATGGAACAAGCCAGAACACACTGAAACTCCCAGTCAGAGTACAGGACTTGTGGATATGATATTGGAAAGTGTGGGGGTCCAGGGGAGTGGGTGGGTAATGTGTGTTTGTGGATGTACCCACTGCAGATATATATTGGGCCTTTTTTAAAAGTGTGCTTGTATTTGACTTACACTTAGCCTTCTTTGTAATATCAAAAGCTAAATATGGGTTGGGCTGTCTTTTATTAACATACATAAAGCCTTATTTTATTGGGTTAATAAAAAGGGATGTTCTTTATTAATATAGTTTCAGTTATTCATAACCCTGCAGTTATACCTGTAGGAGTTTGGATGGAAAACATAACCTTAGACCAAGAGCAATTCAGTGAGACTCATAACAATGTAGCTGTTCCTTTTTTGAAAGCTTGCTTGAACCTTCTAATCTGTATGGAGGATAAAAAGTGCCAAAATTAAATAAATAAATACAGCATTAAATAAATAATTAAATGTGTCAATAATTAATTAAATGTGGAATTAAATAAATAAATGTGTCATTCATTAATTAAAACCACGTCACCAATATAAAGTGCCACAATTAAATAGATAAATACAGCGATAAACAATTAATAAAATGTGTAATTCATTAAATAAATAAGGAAGTAAATATTTAAATGTGTCATTAATTTAATAAAATACGTCTTCATTTTATTAAAAAAATATATATAATTATTTCAGTGTGCATTTAATTATTTCATGGTCCTGTGTCGCAGTGCATCGAAACCATTAAAAGAATCTGTCAAACTCCCCCATCAAAGTTAGGGGGCGGTTATCTAACACCTGATTGGTCACCCTGCACATTAAGGCGAAGCAAATCAATTACAGAGACTGTGATCCACAGGTAGTGAACATACTGTGATACAGTAGGTGGCAACTCGATTCCCGTTAACCCCGCCCTCTAACTTTGATGGGTGAGTTTGACAGATTCTTTTAATGGTTTCAATGCACTGCGACACAGGACCATGAAATAATTAAATGCACACTGAAATAATTATATATATTTTTTTAATGAAATGAAGACGTATTTTATTAAATTAATGACACATTTAAATATTTACTTCCTTATTTATTTAATGAATTACACATTTTATTAATTGTTTATCGCTGTATTTATTTATTTATTTAATTGTGGCACTTTATATTAGTGACGTGGTTTTAATTAATGAATGACACATTTATTTATTTAATTCCACATTTATTTAATTATTGACACATTTAATTATTTATTTAATGCTGTATTCATTCATTTAATTTTGGCACTTTTTATCCTCCATAAAGCTGGAGTTGCTTTTGACTTTAGTAATGTGAAAGAAATGTAAAAGTCCAAAGGTTTTGAATAGGAATTAAGTTAGTGCTAAAGATCCAATTAGTCTTTGAGTTAACATGTCTCTTTCTTGTCTCCGGCATACATGGTGGAGAGTGTTCTGAATGTAACGACCCTAGGAAACATTAATTACTTTGGCTGCTATGCAACGGAAACATTTGATGACAGTTTGCCAACGATTTAATAAGCAATGTTTAGCAAACCTGAAGGCCTGAAAGAATGAGGAGACTGTTGATAAAGGAAACACAAAGGGAAACGATAAATGTTATTTAAATGCTTATCCCTTTATGGAAAGGCTGAGCAGAACATCTACATATTACATCTGAACAACGGTATAAAAGGTATGTTGTAAGTAAATGCAAAAAAACACTAACAGTCATGTGATAGAGCATTAGACCCTTCTGAGAGTAAATTGACAGTGGTCAATTGTCTAATTCAATCCCCTCCCCCAAGGCTGCAGCAAATAAAAACTTCTGATTTGCATTTAAGATCTGCAATCTCTTCTTGAGCTTTTCATTAAATTTCTAATGCAGTGTTGCTCTATTTTCAGAGTCTAGCATCTGTAGTTTATCACTAACTTGGCACAAACCTCTGACAGCATCTCCCAAGAGGAAAGGAGCAGTCTAAGTCGTTGTTTATGAAAGGAGTGTTGAAGGGTGAGAAGGTGTTTGGAGGTAGCTGGCCTATCTCTGTGCATTTGTGAAAAGAGCAGGATATCTCAAACACTAGTGTTTACGGAGGCCTGGGAGGGCAAATGATTCCCTCTAGTGTTTATTGAGGTCTCAGCTGATGGAGCAAATCCGACCGCTAGCGACAAGGCCTTATGTGTGGACATCAAGTAAAACAGTGTGATCCTATATACCGGTTATGGGATTATGACTCTGTGTGTTGTTGACATTTGCTCTGTAGATACGCATTTTGTGTTAGATGGGAAATCAATGGGATCAAGAGATTCTCTGGAGGCTGCAGCCTTCCGAGTGGAACGAGAACATCTGCTCAGTGAATTGCTGCCTTACCTTTACACTTGTAGCCTTGTTTGTAAAAACCCCATATCTAGGAAAAAAGGACAAAAAAAAGCAGAAGGTTGACAAATTAAAATATTTGCTTGAAAGGAAATAGATTGAGAAACACAAGTATGCATTGACTGGTTCACCATACTGCAATTAAAGAATCAGTAAGACCTAGACAAGACAACGTTTATTGTCATTTTATACAGCTTTCAGACAGTGAATTCAGACAGCAGCTTAGCAGTGATATGTAAAATTCCATTTCAACCAGTGCAGCAGTGATCCCATGTAAACAGTGTGGGAGAAAAAACATGCAAAAACGCATTGATATGGAAATTCAGAGAATTAATATATATGATGCCAATTCAGTGTTTTTGGTTTTGTGTTATCAGTGTGATACAGAGTCTGCGACATGATTTAAAGTCTTTTTAACAGTTCAGCTGTCTGATGACACTGGAAAAGAAGCTGTTGCAAAATCTGCCTCTTCCCAGAGGGTAGCAGGGAGAACAGTCCATGGTGGGGGTGTGAGGGGTCATTGATCATGTTATGGGGTTGGGACATGTAACCCTGGAATGAAATGTCTTAAATGGAGGGAAGAGGAGCCTTGATCTTCTCTACTGTTCTCACCACTCTTCTCACTTTCTTTCAGTCTGAGGTGCTGCAGCCTCCACGCCACACAATGCTTCTGTAGGAGGTTGTGAGGATGGGTGTGAGCAGATGGACTCTCCAGTGAGGTGGTTTTAACGTTCCAGGTGAGGTTGTCTGTAATGTGCACCCCCAGGAATTTTGTGATGCTGACCACCTCTACAGCTGAGCTGTTGATGAGCAGTGGAGCGTGGTTAGGCCGATTATTCCTGAAGTCGACGATGATCTCCTTTGTTTTATCCACATTCAGGATCAGATTGTTGTCTCTGTACCAGTCCGCCAGCGGCTCCATCTCCTCTCTGGAGATCTGGTTGTTGTCGTCTCTGATGAGGCCCACCAACGTAGTGTCGTCTGCCAACTTGTGGTTGGTGGGGAACCTGGGGGCGCAGTCGTGTGTCATCAGAGTAAACAGCAGGGGGCTCAGGATGCAGCCCTGAGGGGAGTTTGTGCTTAGGGTGATGATATCAGAGGTGTTCTGATGGTGTACAACCTGGACTGATTGAGGTCTGTTTGTGAGTCTAGCAGCCAATTACAGAGGCGTGTCTTTTAAGCCCAGCTGTTCCAGTTTAACTATCAGATGCTGTGGGATGATGGTGTTGAGCACCAAAATGAAGACCAGAATCAGCATCTGCACATGGGTGTTCTTCTCCTCCAGGTGTGCTAGCCTCAGTTGAAGTGCAGAGGAGAGGGCATCCTCAGAGGAGTGGTTCCGTCAGTGGGCAAACTGGAACGGGTTGTTGTCAAGACTGGAATATACGGGTCCAGTCAATACTGGAAGATAATTAATTTACCCAAATATTTTGATCTTTTTTTGTTGATTTACTGTATTTTGACAATAAGGCAATTCAAAGTAAAGTTTCTAATGTTTACTTCAATTTCCCATATATCTAGAACCCTTATCTCTGCATACCTCTTCTTGGGAAATATGCAGAGATCATCAGAAAAGTAAGTACACCTAAATGTAAGGACATTGGGTTTATAAGCCATACCTATAAGCAGTTTATCATCTCAGATGATAGATAACCCTAACACTAGTGGTGAGACACCAAAGGTCAGTAGATTTATAACGACTTCCTGTTGAGACGGACCTCAGCCAATTGGGAAAACCTGGCAGTTCTACCAGTGTGTACTTCCAGCATTTATTTTAAAAATGCCAGCATCCTGCCCTGCAGTACAGTACTCTATCAGTTTTCTTCCATTTGGTTATGTTCCAATCTCAAACTTTACAATATTTCATCTGCTTTAAATGTGATAGCCCAACACACTATTGTATAACATTAGAACTAGTTATTTTCCATAAAGGGATCAATGCATATTAATTGACATGAATACATGATGTAAATATACAGGATTTCACCGGGGAGGCTAACTTAGTATTAGTAAGTATTAAATAAAATAAAAAAATAGAGTTAACAAGCATTATGAAATGAATTACCTATAAATTGTGAGATATCTATAGCTTAAAGTTACGTAATATATAGTAAACATTACAGTTAGTAAGTAAGTAGTTGCATCTGTGAAACATAAAATATGCAAAACAGTTAGGTTAAAAATGTGAACAATTTTGATCATCTAGCAACAATTGCTGAAGAGATTTCCTGAAACAGTTCAGTGATGTAATATTTCGTATTTCTAATGGTCTGTTCAAAGAATGTGAAGCCCCAACAGAAAATGACAACTGACAGAAAGAACAATGGGCGGCTCTTAAAAGGGGCAAAGAGGAGCCAGATCCCCTTATAGCCGCTCCACTGAAGACATCATAGTGAGTACATTGTTTTATGACGATACAAGCTAGAGTAGAAAACGCAACGAATAAGTCCCTTGAAGTAATACATTTTGGCTGATTACAAAAATCCAGCTGTTGCACTTTCAGTTTACGGTCTTATTAAGATATCATCCCAGTTTTCATCGGCTATACAGGTGCTGGTCATAAAATTAGAATATCATGAAAAAGTAGATTGATTTCAGTAATTCCATTTAAAAAGTGAAACTTGTATATTATATTCATACATTACATACAAACTCATATATTTCAGATGTTTATTTTGTTTAATTTTGATGATTACAAATAACAACAAATGAAAATCTCAAATTCATCATATCAGAAAATTAGAATATTGTGAAAAGGTTCAAAATTGATGGCCCCTGGTGCCACACTCTAATCAGCTAATTAACTCAAACCACCTGCAAAAGCCTTTAAATGGTCTTTCAGTCTAGTTCTATAGGCTACACAATCATGGGGAAGACTGCTGACTTGACAGTTGTCCAAAAGACGACCATCGACACCTTGCACAAGGAGGGCAAGACACAAAAGGTCATCGCTATAGAGGCTGGCTGTTCACAGAGCTCAGTGTCCAAGCACATTAATAGAGAGGCGAAGGGAAGGAAAAGATGTGGTCGAAAAAAGTGTACAAGCAAGAGAGATAACCGCACCCTGGAGAGGATTGTGAAACAAAACCCCTTCAAAAATGTGGGGGAGATTCACAAAGAGTGGACTGCAGCTGGAGTGAGTGCTTCAAGAACCACCACACACAGACGTATGAAAGACATGGGTTTCTGCTGTCGCATTCCTTGTGTCAAGCCACTCTTGAACCACAGACAGCGTCAGAAGCGTCTTGCCTGGGCTAAAGAGAAACAGGACTGGACTGCTGGTGAGTGGTCCAAAGTCATGTTCTCTGATGAAAGTAAATTTTGCATTTCCTTTGGAAATCAAGGTCCCAGAGTCTGGAGGAAAAGAAGAGAGGCACTTCATCCACGTTGCTTGAAGTCCAGTGTAAAGTTTCCACAGTCAGTGATGGTTTGGGGTGCCATGTCATCTGCTGGTGTTGGTCCATTGTGTTTTCTGAGGTCCAGGGTCAACGCAGCCACATACCAGGAAGTTTTAGAGCACTTCATGCTTCCTGCAGCTGACCAACTTTTTGGAGATGCAGATTTCATTTTCCAACAGGACTTGGCACCTGCACACAGTGCCAAAGCTACCAGTACCTGGTTGAAGGACCATGGTATCCCTGTTCTTAATTGGCCAGCAAACTCTCCTGACCTTAACCGCATAGAAAATCTATGGGGTATTGTGAAGAAGAAGATGCAATACACCAGACCCAACAATTCAGAAGAGCTAAAAGCCACTATTAGAGCAACCTGGGCTATCATAACACCTGAGCAGTGCCACAGACTGATCGACTCCATGCCACGCCGCATTGCTGCAGTAATACAGGCCAAAGGAGGCCCAACTAAATACTGAGTGCTGTACATGCTCATACTTTTCATGTTCATACTTTTCAGTTGGCCAACATTTCTATAAATCCTTTGTTTTTATTGGTCTTCAGTAATATTCTAATTTTCTGATATGATGAATTTGAGATTTTCATTTGTTGTCATTTGTAATCATCAAAATTAAACAAAATAAACATCTGAAATATATGAGTTTGTATGTAATGTATGAATATAATATACAAGTTTCACTTTTTAAATGGAATTACTGAAATCAATCTACTTTTTCATGATATTCTAATTTTATGACCAGCACCTGTATCTGAGGTTTCCAGAGCTACAAAAAAAGCTCTTTGGCTTTTTGGTTTTAATGTTTTGTTCTGTGCCACCATGAGTAAGAACCTCCCCCCACACTGGCCCTCCTTATACATTTGGTCTAGAACCACCATTTTTGTTTTTATTGTCAATACAAGGTCAAAAGTAAAGCGCAACGAAATGCACTCTCTGCATTTAACCCATCCCCTTGGGGAGCAGTGCGCTGCCATTTAGCCGTGCCCTGGGGGCATTTTAGAGTTAAGGGTCTTTGCTCAGGGACCCAGATTGGCAGTCTGTGGGAGTGGGTTTCAAAATCACAACCTCAAGATTTCAAGATCTATGCCCCAACCACTAGGCCACCACTCCCCCATTTCCAGTTCCCCTACTAAATGCTTTTATAGTTATTGATAGTACATTTAAAATGTAAGCAGTAGTGGAGTCAAGCTGCAAAGTAAAGCAACTGCAAAAAATTTTTATATGCAAACATCCAAGTAAAAGATGATACTTTTCCAACTCAAAAAGTCATGCTAATGTAACACTTTATAATGAGGATATTGATTAGATTTTTTTAATCCAGAGTCTTTATGGTCAGCTTATAGAGATTTTCTAATGGCTGTAGTGCAGACTGAGAGCATCTTGTTATGCAGTAATTTGTACGAGAAAGCATCACGGCATTTAAATATTATTTTGAAGCTTTAAATTTCATTTTTTTTCTATGCTTGAAATAATTCTGAAGCCCAAGGTAATTGATACACTATATTGCCAAAAGTATTTGCTCACCTGCCTTGACTCACATATGAGCTTAAGTGACATCCCGTTCCTAATCCATAGGGTTCAATATGACGTCGGTCCACCCTTTGCAGCTAGAACAGCTTC